TTCCTTGATGTCTGCAAGGCTGCTGGTATAAGGGCAGCCTCCTTGCCCCAGGGTGAATGATCAGAGGTGGGGGTGGTGGGAGAGCCAATAAGAAGCTACAGGAGTCTTTTATAAGCTAAAGTCAAAGTTACAGGAATCTTTGCCATACCATCCCTCTGCCACAGTCTGTGAGTCACACAGACCCGACTCTTGCAAAATGTGGGTGGGGACTCCACGAGGGAATGAACACTAGAAGGGAGGAATCATTGCAAGGTGGGGGGATCCCACCAATCTTTTCTTTGCTGTACAAGTTGTTGAACCAGAATTGCACTGAGCTATACCCCCAGCCCTCTATTATTTTGAAATAGAGCCTCCCTAAGTCACTAAATTGCCCAGGCGAGGCTTGAACTTATGTTCCTGCCTCAGCTTCCCATGGTGCTAGGCTCACACCTGTGCAGCACCACCAGTCATTTGAGCTGGAATTTTACACTGATGGATCGGCTTTCCATCCCTTCCTGTGGTGTGGGCTGGAGTTGTGTTCATCTTTGTCTCGGTGCAGTAGTATTCAGTCATTCATTATTGATAGACTAGATGAACGAGAAATGATTTTCCTAAACATCTTATCAAGATTTTTATTTGAATTTAAAAATTTAAGGGGCTGGGGATTTAGCTCAGCGGCAAAAGCGCCTGCCTGGCATGCGCAAGGTCGTGAGTTCGGTTCCCGGTACTGGAGAAAAACCAAAAAAAAAAACCAAACAAAAAAAAAATTTTAATTAATTTTTCCGTTATAAAAATAATACATTCTAGGGGCAGAGAGTGTAGCACTGGTAGAATGCTTACCCAGCATGCATAAGGCCGAAGTTCAATCCCCAGCACTACTAAAAATATAAAAATAAAAATTCGTATTATTAAAAACAAACCAGCAGAGGCTGGGGATTTAGCTCAGTGGCACAGCACCTGCCCAGCAAGCTCAAGGTCGTGAGTTTGATCCCCAGTACCAGAAAAAAAACAAAAAAAAAAAAACCAAAAAAACAAAACAGAGTATTCAGGGGTGTAAAATGGAAAATTCCATTCTTATCCTTCTGTATCCAGTCTTACACTATTGAAGTTATCATTGTTAATATTTGTGGAGTATCCTTCCAGAAAATTTCTAATATACTAGAAATACTTAGATGCTAGAAATATTAAATATTTAGATATATTATCTAAAATACTGCTGGGAGCTGGGCGTGATGGTGCACACATGTAATCCCAGCCCTCTGGGAGGCCTAGGGAGGAGGGTCACAAGTTCAAATTCACCCTGGCAGTTCAGCAACTTAACAAGACCCTGTCTCAAAATTAAAAAATAGGATGTGAAGGAGATCTGGGTGCGGCATCTGTCACCCAGTTGATTGCCAGGGTTGACCAGCTGCTCTGGCTGGCTAAGCAGGTGTCCCCTTCCTGCCTCACTGCTCCCTGTGCCTCCTTCCCTAAGCTGCGTGCTCGGTGGAAGAGGACCACCACCCCGATAGAGGAGGACCGTTTCCTTGGTCAGCGTTACAAGTAGCTGCCCTCTCCTGCTAGAACCTCCAGACAAGCACCCAAAATGAAAAAATAAAACAGGGCTGGAGATGTAGCTCAGGCCAAAGGCCTTGGATTCAATCCTCAGCCACCTGCTCAGTAAGTTACGGTATTTTATGTATGAAGTACTGGCAGAAGTGCATGCCGGTGTTAAAGGACATTGCCACCGGCGCTCAGTGGCTGAGACTGTTGAGTCTGTCCTTGTGGGATCACGTGGGGGCCGTCATCTGTTAGAATGTCCCTACTGCAGTCACCATATTGTTACACAACCACTACCATATTGTTACATACCCACTACCATATTGTTATATATTTGGATTATTTTCCATTTTTTCACTATTATAAACAATGATCCTCTGTTACCGTACATAAAACCTTTTCCATATTATAGATTATTTACTTAGCACAGACAGGGAAGTAGTTATTATTGAGATAAAGAGTTTAAACAAAGTAGTTATAATTATTGGGTTAAAGGGTTTGAACATTGTTTGAGGGTCACCACCTTCTTTGAATTTTCTCCCTATGTAGTAAATCCTTTCTCTCTCTTTTTTTTTTCCCCGGTACTGGGAATCGAATTTAAGATCTTGCCCTTGCCAGGCAGGCTCTGTGCCGCTGAGCTAAATCCCCAGCCTCAATTTGAACTTTTTTTTTGGTACCAGGAATCGAACTCATGACCTTGCGCTTACCAGGCAGGCGCTTGTGCAGCTGAGTTATATCCCTGGCCCAGTAAATCCTTTCTCATTGGCCTTTTTCCTCAGACATCTCACCTTTGGTACTAGATAGAATCCTCTTTTTTGAGACAAGATCTCACTGTGAAGTTCATGCTGGCCTTAAACTCACTATGTAGCCCGCGCCGACCATGAATTCATGGCGACTCTCCTGCCTCAGTCTCCTGAGTAGCTGGAGTTACAGACTTGTGCTCAGATTGCTGTTATTTCTATTGAAAGATGTCTTTATTAGCAGAGTGACGGCTGAGACTTGTCCTGGGTTCTGTCTGTCAGAAGAGACTGACTGTCTCTCCTACTACTCCCATCCTTTGCAGAGGTTCCTGTTTCCCTATGCTTGACTGCTGCCAATGGTGCACCAATGCTTTATGCCTAGGATCAGCAAAGCTTGGTCACCTACCTGTTCCTAAGTGCAAGGGATTCTGGGAAATGTAACACTTGGTACAGGAAAGTACACCTGGTCTACGTTTTGTTTTGTTTTTCTTTTAGAGACAGGGTTTCGCTATGCAGTCCAGGCTGGCCCTGAACTCACTTTGTAGCCCAGGCTGGCCTCAAACTCGCAGTGGTCCTCCTGCCTCAGCCTCCTGAGTGCTGGGTTTATAGGCAGGTGCCATCCTTTGTTTTTCTGCTCAGAATCTGTTCTTTGCATTTTTCTCCGCGTACATCTGCAGCCCTCTTCTTTCCCACTTTAGTCGGCTAGGGCTACTGTCACGAAATACCACAGACTGGGAGACTTAAACAACAGAGACTTCTTTCTCAGGGTTGTGGAGGCTGGAAGTCCAAGATCAAGGTTCTGACAGGTTGATTCCTCTGGGGTTTTTCTTCTTGGCTTGCAGGTGGCTCCCTTCTTGCTGTGTCTGCTGCATGTGGTCTCTCCTCTCTGTCCCCATCCCTGGCCCTTCTCCGTGTGTCCGTATCTCTTTCTCTAAGGACACCAGATTTGAGTAGGATCCACCCCACTGGCCCATTTTAACTTAGTCACCTCCTTAAAGGCTCTGTCTCCAGCTTATCCCTTTCTGTGGTATTGGGGTTAGGGCTTCAGCATATCCGTTTCAGTGGGGTGGGGGCACGTCATTCAGCTCCTAACACCTTTGCTTTAAGGTTTAAGATTATTTTGCCTTCTCTTCCCTGCTTTGTGCCGGCACTGGTAGCATCCCCTTCAACTGCATGCTCTTCCCCACATCAGCTTGTGTGCCGGTAGCTTACTGTCTTGAATTCTTCAGCAGCCAGACACCCCAGGCAGCCCGGTGAGTGCTGCCCTTAGGCCCCTGGCTGGGGAGCGGGGACTGGGACACTGAGAGCTGGAGCGCTGCTGTCCGCCCTCAGTCAGGGAGGAAGCAGAGAGAGAACACGGTCAGACGAGCTTTGCTGTGAGCTTTATGTGGTTGCGTTCTGTCGGAAGCTTAAGCCCACGCCCACAAGCGCGGTGATTATACACACGGATCGCTCTAGTGCAGATGATTCGTCCGTACTTTCTGGCTCCCTAGCGGCTTTCAGCACCTGCTGGACATGGAGTGGGATCACGGCACCTCAGGTATGAGAACACAAGGGGCCTTTGGTATGAGTACCTGCTCGGTGAGGGAGTGAGTTGAGTAGATGCTCTTTCGCTCACGCGGAGCACCTCTGTCTGGCTGAGAACTTGGTCCCAGATTGCACTCTGCTTGACAATGTGCTAAGAAGCTTGTGTGTGCAGCACGTTCCTTCCTTTCTGATCCTGCGCAGATGCCCCTCGGGCACCAGTCTGTTCTAGAAATGGGGGCTCTGCCTGCACCTGACTCTCCTGTCCGTTGGCTCCATGACCCACCTGAGCACCTCCAAAAGTACCCTGCCTTTTGTGCTTGCCGCAGCTGGCCAGGTAACTGGTAGGCCATTAGCACCATAGACTTCGGGAGGCTTCAACTTGCAAGTTAATTATGTATCCACATAGTGGCCATTATAGAATTTTTTTTTGGTCTTTTGAGACAGGGTCTCGCTATGCAGTTCAGGCTGGCCTTGAGCTTGCTTTGTAGCCAGGCTGCTCTGAAACTCGCAGCAATCCTCCTGCCTCAGCCTCCCGAGTGCTAGTATTACAGGCATGCACCACCACACCAGGCTTAGAATATGTTTTCAAGAAATTTAAATGGTTTGAGAAAGTGCTCAGCAAGGATAAACAAAATAAAAACTAGAAAATAAAACTAGATGATATGGTCCCAGTTGAAAAAAAAAGTAAAAACTGAAACAACGAAAAGAGTAGGAAAGATATAACAAGTATTAATAATAGCTGCTTCCTAGCCCTGTAGCAGGATTGCAGGTGAGTTACTTATTTTTTTGGGTGGTACTGGGGATTGAACCAGGGCCTTTGCATTGAGCTACACTCCCCAGACCTTTTTATTTTGAGGTGGGCTTTCCCTCAGTTGCTAAGTTGCTGTAGCTGGGCTGGAACTTGTGATTCTCCTGCTTCAGCTTCCCAGACTGGTAGAATTATAGGTGTCCCCCTTTTTCTTCTTGTTCTTTTTTTTTTTTTTTGTGCTTTACAGTTTCTTTTAAGATTTATGATTAGTGATTGCGGTGGGGGTCAGGGTGGGAGAGTGCTTGCCTAGTATGTGCAAGGTTCTAGGTTTGGTCTCCAGCCACACCACCACAAGGAAAGAAAGACAAGAAAGAGATAAAGAAAAAAATATAACCTGGAAAAATGCCAGTAGGAACTAGAAGATCATTGCTGAAGGCTTTTGCTTGCATACTCAAAAGAGATGACCAAGAGAGATCCAGACAAAAATGTTGCTCTCACCCTCATTGGACAGTTGTTTCCATGGTGCAGTCTGGTTGCCTGGGCAACAGGACACCTTTCCTGGAACACAGTATCCTCCCCTTCACCACCTTTCCTCAGGGCTTTCCTGTCTGTCCACAGGGCCACATTGTCCACAACTGGAAGGCACGGTGGTTCATCCTTCGGCAGAACACGCTGCTGTACTACAAGCTTGAGGGGGGTCGGAAAGTGACCCCACCCAAAGGCCGGATCCTCCTGGATGGCTGCACCATCACCTGCCCCTGCCTGGAGTATGAGAACCGACCGGTATGTGAAGGCCCTTGCTGCCCAGCTCCCTGCCTGGACGCATCCCGCGTGGGGCCTCCCTGGAGAAGGGGGTGTGAGTGTGGGGAGAACTCACATCTGTAACTGAAAGTCTCACGGATTTAAATTCTGGCTCCGTCATGTGCCAGAGGTGTGACCTTGGGCAAGTGGTTGAACCCCCTGAGCCTTCTTTGTCGGTCTGCAAGGTGGTGTAACAGTGACGCCTGAGTGCCTTGCATGGTTGTGGCTAGGAAAGGGAAGGTAATGATCTGTTGCAGCATGGAAGCTAGGGTGATGCGGGACTGCACCAGCGTGAGCAGTTACCACTACCTTGGGGCTCAGTGTGATGCTTTCGTTTCCTGAGTGGTGCGTGTTTTAGAAAAAAATAATAGGGTTCCTGTACACCAGCAATGAGCCTCCCCAAGGAAGAAATTAGAAAAACAGTACATTCACAATAGCTGCAAAAAAAACCCTAGCATTAATGTAGCCAAGGAAGTGAGAGACCTCTGTAAGGAAAACGATAGTACTCTGAATAGAGATTGAAGAGGATGTCAGAAAATGGAAAGATAGGGCAGGGCATGGTGGTACATACCTGTAACCCCTTCTCACTTGGGAGGCTGAGGCTGGAGGATTGTTGTGAATTTGAGGTCAGTCTGGGCTGAATATCGAGTTCAAAGCCAGCCTGGAATACATAGTGAGATAGTAAGACACTGTGTCAGAAAAGACAAAAAAAAAACAAGAAGAAAACACCCCAAAAATTCATATGGAACTAGAAGAGACCTCAAAAGGGCAAAAGCAATCCTGGGTAAAAAGACCAAAGTGAAAGGCTTCACAGTCCTGGAGTCAAAGTTATATTACAAAGCTACTGTGATAAAAACAGCATGGTACTGACACATAAATAATATAGCTAAGTTTTGGAAGTGGCCTATATGTCCATCAACAGATAAATGGACAAAGCAAATGTGTTTATATACAATGGAGTGCTACTCTGCTATAAAGAAGGATAAACTTGAGTCATTTGGGTTTTGTTTGTTTGTTTGTTTTGTTTTTTTTCCAGTACCAGGAATTGAACTCACGACCTTGTGCTTGGCAGGCAGGCGCTGTGCCGCTGAGCTAAATCCCGAGCCCCAAACTTGAGTCATTTGTAGGAAAATGGATGCACCTTGAGACCATTATGTTAGACAAAATAAGTCAGACACACAAGCTGAAATATCACATGGTTTCTTTTATATGAGAAACCCAAATTATAAAGAAAGAGCAAATTAAAGATAGATAATAGGAAGTAGGGAGATAGCCATTTCTCAGATGGAAAGAGGATCAAGAGATGGAGGGAAGGAAAGGGGCAGAAAAGGGAGTTAAGAAGCGCTAGGGAGGTAGTTAGTTCTGTACAAACCAAGCTTGTGGTCTCTCCACATAGAGGAATGAAGTCATGAATCGAAAAGAGGAAGTTAGTAGAGATTTTACTGGAAATAAGGAACAAGAAGAATGCCCCTGGTTTCTGCAGAAAGGGAATCTGAAAAGTGGAGTTTCCACCTGGCCCCTTGGTGCAGACGGTTTTTTTACGGATAAGGGGACCTTGGGAGAATTGCTCAGTTGTTTGGTGTCTGCCTATCACAGCTGGCCCTGTGAATTTAAAATAGCCAATCAGCGCAGGCTCTCTAACCCAGTTTCCTCAGTATGTAGGGATTGAAGGAAAGAGATTTTAAAGAAAAGCTGCTTACTTTGCATTTCAAGTTCCTGGAAACTCAGGAATTTAATAGGGAGGGGCCACCACTCCCTTCGGTGAGGAGGGAGCTGCACTCACTGTTTTTTTTTGTCTTTTTGAGACAGGGTCTCGCTATGCAGTTCAGGCTGGCCTTGAGCTCACTTTGTAGCCCAGGCTGGTCTCGAACTTGCAATCAGCCTCCTGAACACGGGGATTACAGGGCTTGCACTCCTTGTTGCCTGCAGAAGTTCAGTCATGGTCTTGAGTCCTAGTTCACTGTCCTTATTTTAATTCTTACAGGATGGCTGATCACCCAACTCTGTGTCCGGCGCCCTTCCCCTAGCTGGCTGCTTACTGCTAAGCTAGACGAGGAAACTATTTTATATTATGTACATGTATCCACCCTACACAAGCAGTATAAAGGAAATTTATTGCAAATGTGCAAACGAAAAAGAAAGTATTGGAGAGAGGGACGGAGGAGGGAGAGGGGGAAGGAAAAGGTCAAAACAGTGAGGGGTGAAGTTGAGAACGAGTGAAACATCCCAGGGCTTGGGGTTGACCTGACATTAAGGCGGGGTGAGGGTATCACTTGTCCTTGCAGGCTGACAGCGCTTTCTGGCTTGGGTGGCGAGGGGAAAGGAGGATGGCACCCAGGAGACAGGAGGAGGAGGGAGCCCTCGGCACTTGGCCTGTTGTTAGCTGGGAGCTCTGTGTCCTGGATGTTCAACTCTGGGTGTTGTAGGAAGATCCACAAGGATGAGGTCACTGCCTTCACTGAGCTTGAGAGTGAAGAAACAGAATTCTCTCCTGTCCCCAAAAGAATATGTAAGTGTTAGATGTGGTGGCGCATGCCTGTAATTCCAGCACTCAGGAGGCTGAGGCAGGAGGATCACAGCAAGGTTGGGGCCAACTACATAGCGAGATCCCATCTCGAAAAACCAAAACAACAGGAAAAAGACTAAGTGTTGCAATCTACAAGTTAATGTTTTTCTCACAACCAAGACTTTTTCTGGAGATTAATGGTGTATTTGAGGACCTAAGAATAAGAGAAGAGTGCCGGGGATGTAGCTCAGTGGCATAAGTGCTTGCCTGGCAAGCCTGAGGTCATGAGTTTGATTCCTGGTTCCAAAAAAAAAAAAAGAATAAGAGAAGGCATGCCTCGAGTCCCAGCACTCTGGGAGACTGAGGCAGGAGGATTGCAAGTTTGAGCCCAGCCTGGTCAACTTAGCAAGAGTCAGTCTGTAAATAAATAAGGACTGGGGATAGGGTGGTTGTAGCTCAGAGAGATCTCATCTGAGACAGACACACAAAGAATTAGAGAAATAATTTAGTTGAAATTGGGAAGGAGTTCTAGTCTTAAATGGCCATCATTTTTTCATATCAGCTTTAGATATGGAATGAGGCAGAGTTGTCATGTTGCAGGACTTATAGTTGACTCGCTTATGTATTCCCGCATAGCAAGCTCGTGTGTGTATCAGAGTGGAAAGGGAAGAAAGCCTGCAACAGTTCTATATGTTTAAAAAAATGTCGTCCCATCTTAGGAGGCTGCCCAGATGTCAGGGTTTTTTTGTTTGTTTTTTGTTTTTTTGAGACAGGGTCTTGCTATGTAGTTCCGGTTGGCTTGGATCTCACTATGTAGCACAGGCTGCCTCAAACTTGTGGCCGTCCTCCTGCCTCAGCCTCCTGACAGTTGGGATTAAGGCGTGCGCCATTGTGCCTGCCACGTAGTGTTGGTATGTCTCTCGCACACCTGGAGGTGCTGCAGACTAAACGTGAGAAGCCCGGCGGCACTGGCTTTGTGTTGGGAAGGAGGTAGGCCCTCTAGAGGACGCTGACCCTGGAAAAGACTCGGCTCTGCATCCTCTTGCTTTTCGCACTGGAAGACAAGCACAATGTCTGGGCATGTAGTATGTGCTTAGTAAGCGTCCTCTTACTAAGGAAAATGTGTTTCTTAAGTGAATTTAAGACTCCGGGTCTTGGTAAATGAAATCCCCACACTCACAGATGAATCGCTGACCTGTTGTCCCTGAGTAATCTCTAGGAAACAGTGGTAAGCTGATGGGCTAGGGATGGGAAACTGGTCTAAGTTTGAAAGCAGAAAGGGAAACAGGCAAAATTGGCTGGAGTTGTGTTAAGTCTCTAAAATTCTCAGATTTTCATCGGCCCAGGATTTATGTTAGTTAGTTGGGGGCACTGGCGATCAGGCCCAGGGCCTCACATGTGCTCAGCAAGGACTGGGCCCAGCCCCGGTCCTAAGAACTTGGGCTCGAAGGAGGGAGAAGAGCCATTAGGTTCCCAGTGAACAAGTTAAAAAGTGTGCGTGTGCATGTGTACTTACACGGTGTACAGCAGGGAAGTGATCCAAAGTCTGTGCCAGGACTTCACTTGGAGTTCCCCAGCCTCTGCCATGACTTTCCATTTCACTGGTGAATGACACCCGACGGCGCAGGGCCAGGAGCTGCCTGAACCCTGCTCCCCACGGTGCTGAAGCCTGAATTTAACCTGCGGGAACCTCTTCCCACTATTCCTTGGGGCAGAGTGCCAGCCCTGTCCTGTTCTTCAGTTTGCTGTTTAGATGAAGGAGAGTGGTTGAGCTTTCAAGCAGAACAAATTGGGAGTGAGTACTTTGGGAAACACTGCCAGAAAGCTGCTGCAGGGATAAATCAACACGAGTCAGGACTCTGTCTCCACACGCTGTCTACCAGTGATAGCAGAGACAAACCTAAAGTGGATTTTTTTCTTTTGGTTTTTCCTCTCTCTCT